TCTTCTGTTGTAAATTCTAGTTGCAGAAGATTCTTTCCCTGCTTCTACAATTGATCATACACTGATCATTTGTTTTTGTCCTGTCAGGCCCATAGGTGTCAAGCAGCTCACTCTGACTAGTTTCGTGGTGATAGTTCTTGTCTTTGTATTCTTTTACAAGCCTGTAGGTGGACTTCTCCCAATGCTCTTCTCTCACATTCTTTATATGTTCTGGCAGTTTTCTTCTGGGTTTTTTTTCACTACCTCCTATGGCCGTTTTAACAACATCTGCTAGATTATTCAGAGGTGATTCTACTAGTGGAGCTAGGGAGTCCTTACCATACCCAGTTTCCAGTTGCTGGACAGAGGCTTTTCCTCGAGAGTATTTGAGTGAATTCCTCCACTCTTGGAGAAGAGGAAAAAGTTTGGAGTCGTCCTTCCCTGGGTCCCTGATGTGAGAGCCTACTCATAATACCAGTTCAGATTTGATGCTCCATTATCTGGTTGGGGTGTGCATGGCCTTTCTGTTTGATCAATATAGATTCAGTGCATTGTTCATGGAAGAGGATCCACTATCTCCTCATAATTCCAAAGGCAGAGTGGTCACATCCTGGGCCCTTGGTTAAAAACTGTATTCCATGGTTGGAGAATGAGGATGAATTTTCATAATTCCAGACAGGATGAGTTCTGTTCCTTTGGTTGAGTAAAGCATACATGATCCTGTCATTCCGAGTCTGGGGTGTTGCCTTTCGGACTTCTTCAGGTGGAAGAGAAAGTTTGTTCACTTCAGTGTTGCTTTCTTTCTCATCATAATTCCAGTGGTTCAGAATGCATCACTTTATGGCTACAGGTTGAAATCCAGTCAGAAGTATATCTATATATAACATTGTGATGCAACTGCTCTAGACACCAATGTGGGATATAGGGACCAAGACCCCTTAATTCAAACCCTGAGTTGTGGAACCTCGGATATCTGGTTGGGCTGGCCTATAATAATTACTCGTACTATTCCACCCTTGATATCAATATTAAGTTCTGGGTGAAGAGCATGCCTGTTCTGGATGTAGTGTGGTTTCCCACTTGGGTACCACTCTTATCTTGGTACATCCCTGTTCTATACAGATGCTTTCTGTATGGACAGTGCCCTCACTGGCTCATCCACCTTCTCAATGTGGGATTCTAGCTAAAGTGACAGCAGAGGGTAAGTATATTTTGGAAGTTAACATTTTCCTAAATTGAAAATTTATTTCCAATAATACTTACCTCTGCTGACACTCTCCTGCTCTTCCTCTCAATTAAGAGCCGGTGTTACTGACTGTGGTGGTGTAATTCTCGAAAAAGTGATTACATTATATGAATGAGATTCTTATATACAGTGTCAGGATATATGCATTGATGCAGGTGGGGGGATTTGCAAATTAGATATTGCCAAGGGCATTTAATTGGTGTATAAAAGACTGGAGCATACGAGACCAATGCTCAGATAGGCAAAGCCAATGTCGAGGAATAGCTAAAGTGTCAGCAGTGGTAAGTATTATTGGAAATACATTTTCAATTTAGGAAAATGTTAACTTCCCATTTAACATTTAGCTTACTTTTAATGTATTTAAAGAATCGTTGTTTTTAAAATTCTTCCACATCTGACAAACATCTCCATTTAACTTAGTATCTCATTTCAACAGATTAATTCCTGCTTCATCACCTCAGTATTAGCCTTCACAAAATGTGAGAGAAAAATACTATTATTCTTTATCTACATATGCAATATTAAAATGAAACCTAATTGTATAATGATTGCATGCAACCAGATACTCTACTTCTTCAATCCCCTGACCATATCTACATAGGAAGTTAGTAATATATCTAAAATAGCATCCTCCCCAATAGATTCACTAACCATTTCATGAAGAAAACTAACTTGAACAGTTTCCAAGAATCCTTTGCTCTCACTGAGATCCTCTGTGATTGAAAAGCTCATTAAATGCTGCTTTCTTGATCTCATTAATTTTATAAATCTGATCAGGTGGCTTTTAACATTCTATATAACTTATAATTGGGAATTTCAAATTAATTCTTGTTATCATGTTATCAACAAGCTTTATTAATACACTAATTATGCCTTTATCACCATCATTAATGTAAATAAGAAAAAGTAAAGATTCAAGCACTTAACTCTGAGAAATTCTACTGATAAATAGTAGTTAGTGTCCAGTTTGACTGGACTCCACTAATAATCACCTTTCTCTCCCATCTATCAACCTCCAATATCATTAGATAGTCCTTCCTCAAGTCCTGCCAGTGTTTTTTTTCTTACCTAACTTTTTGTGTGGTACCTTATCAATAGCTTTTTGAAAATATTAAGTAATCAACCCTACACCATTTCCATCATCTAGATAACAGTAACATCCTCAAAAAACAACAGAATAGTAAGGCAAGATTTCACTTTGGTTAATCTGTGTTGGCTATCATATATGATATCATATTTTGCTAAATGATTTTGTAAAATTGCTCTTAACAGACAGTATAGATTGTATCCCACTACATAGATAAAGCAAAGTGACGTATAATTTCAAGGGAAACTGTTATCACTACTTTTAAAAGTATGATTAACTTAGTAACTTCTACATTTTGTTGACCAACAGAGAATGAAAGATAGAAGCTTGCATACCTGATCTTTAAAACCCTGGGGAAAGATCTTATTTGCCCCTGATGCCTTATGTTTAAACTCTCAGTCATTTTACTTACTACTAGAGATTAACATTTGCATGATTTAGATCAATTTAAATTTTTCCCATAAAATTGTCAGTGTCAAAAATATTGATATACTCTCTTTTTAAAACAGAAGAGATTATTTAAGACCTTGGCTATTTTGTAGTTAACAAAATCAGTGCAATCCTTTAAGGGCCAACTTCCTTAATGGATTATAAGAAGAATGCTTATTTGGTGTACTTCATTTTTGATTTTGTGCCACACAGAAGGTTATCCAAGAAATCACATCAGTAGTGGTTGGGAAAGAATTGTTGATTGGATTATAGGGTGGTTGGAAAGGAAAAAAAAGCAAAAGATTGTTATTAATGGATTTAGTCAGATTAGATTCTTATGATAATGGAGTGCCTCTGTGGTCAGTGCCGGGAGCATTGTTTTTTATTTTTTCACGTTAATGATATTGAATAGGACATAATTAGTAAAATTTGCTGATGTCATTAGACACTTGGCTATGTTTAGCTGTATTGAAGATGTTGAGGTATTACAGAATGACTTGAATCAATTGGCAAGTTGAGCAAATAGTTAACAGATATTCCTTAAGTGCTTGAATCATGAGTAAAAGCTCAGTAGACATGGTAACATTAAGTTCATCTATGATTACCATCAGTGCTCTGCTGTACCCTTTCTTGACACAAATGTCTTAAAACAAAGAAGGACATGTTGATGTTGGTTGTTATCAGGAACCCATCTACACTGGACTACACACTTTTACAGTTTTGTTCCACTTCATTTCAAAGAATGCCTTGTGAAATGTCTTGCATCCCATGCACACAGAATCACGAGTTTCTGTGAAACTATACAGCAAGAGTTACTCAAAGTAAAATATGTTTTAAAACTTAACTCCTACCCAAGCAACTTTTTAGATTCTACTATCAATATAATCATTCAGTTCCTTTCTCTATCTAGGTCAGTGAAGTATGATGCCCCAAAGCTACAAGTAACGATCTGTCTATCGTATATATTGTCTTGTACTCATGAATCTTGAAAGAGAAATTAAACACTATAATCAAGAGAATTTGTACACAAAATTACCTTCAATATATGTTTAGATCCATATTTAAAATCAAAATATTTTTCAAATTTTAAGATAAAATCCAGTTCTCTTAACAATTAATGTCATTTATGAATTCTGCTATCCAATGCGTGAAGGCATCTACATTGTCTCAACTGTTAGAAACCTGAGAAATCATTTAGGAGAACACTGTATTCCTACTTTCAAGGAAGTTCAAGCATTGTTTAACATGCATTAGGTAAATGTGATGTGGTCCTTTACTCCTCTATATTCAAAGTAATTGGTAAAACTGAAAATGATACTGTATTTCAGATGAAGTAGATGCTTCTGATGTTTCAAAAGAAGCCAAAACTAAACAATCAACAAAGTGTTCCTAGCATTTAATCCAGATTTAGATATTTGAATTTGATTTAAATTTTCACTCTGTATTGTCTAAAATTAACTTTTAGTTTTAGTAAGTACAAGGGGTATTTGAGTTATTGTAGTTACTTAATAGTGTGAGTGAAGAATAGGATCTTGGCATAGTATTGGATAGATGCACCCAAGCCATTAATGCTCTGTAGCTAGTTGTCAAATTAACAGAAACTTAGGGAGTGTTGATTACAAGTTAAAAAGATAATTCTCCCTCTATCTCCATCACCAGTTTGTTCTCACTAGGAATACTGTATGCAGTTTTGGGCTCCTTATGTCCAAATGATACCCGCGTAATGAAATAAGTTCACAGGCGGGCTACCAGGATAATTTCAGTGGTGTAAGAATTATCTTTATAGGGATAGGTTATTGTATCTCTACTTCTAACCTTTATTTTTGTTAAGAGTAAATAAAGTTATTGTAATCTACAAGATTATTTTTAGGATTAATGGGATTAAAACATCTAATTTCTTCATGCTTTTTTTTTCTGAAAGTAATAGGGCAAGAGGACACAATCTTAACATTTGGTTAAGTCAGGCTAGTTATTTTTCTAACAGTGTGATTGACTTATAGAATGAGTTACTATAAGAAATGTTGGACAGCAGTATTTTTGAGGAGTTTAATAGGGAAATCAATAATTTCCTGAAAAATTAGCGTGGTTTTTAAGTTTTTACATTTCTCGAGCATGGATGTGCAAAGACAGCCTTGAAGGACCAAGTGGTCACATTGTCATATGTGCATAGGTGATGTTATGTTAAAAAACTTGTTGTTGCTGTTGTTATTGTTGGGAGATTTGTATTTTAAGGAATCTAGCAGAATTTATCTGTTACAGGAACACCTGAATTCCCAATGTCTTCAGGAAAGTTTCGAATGAATGAAGGTGACTGGGCTTGTCCTGACCCACAGTAAGAAATTTATTATTATCATTTTTAACATAAAACTGGTATAATGACCTTAAAATATGCTAGAAAAAAATTCTTTTGGTGTAATATTTATTTCTGGTACATAAAGGTATTAACTGTTATTTAGATACAGATTTTTGGGCATATCTTTTGTGTGAAAGTTATTATCCCCTTAACCCTTTAAATGCTGATGGGTCAAAGCATGTATGTCATGAATTTTTCTGTAGAGTTACAGTTAAAATTTATTAAACAACTTTATTATCAGTGTATGTCAATAAACTTGGCATCATATGGTAGTTTATAATTTCAAATGCTAATTTTATGTAGCTTTAAATTTCTTAGTTTATAAAAAAAAAATTTTAATAAATTCTCAATCTTAATTTTTATTCTTAACATGAAAATCACCTTGTACTTAGACTGACTCAGTAAAGGCTTCATAAATTCAGACAAATCTTTAGTAAATATATATATGTAATTAAAATAATAGTGTGCGAGTGTATGGGAGTGTTTTTAAATTTCATTAAAACATACAAAAATGAAATCAGGATTAGGGAAGTATGGATGACACCATTATATGTGGAGGAAAGCTTTTTAAACTTCTTTAAACTATGTAAAAATGAAATTTGGAAGAGGGAATTATGTGTGTAAGGGAGGGGTAGGTGTAGGTAGAACTATTCATTGCAAAGGGAAAGGTATTTGGTGAATGGATCCATCATCCTTCAAAGCCCCATCTCAGCAGTGTTTATGTGTTATGGTTTTTGTATGAATTTCTTTATTTGTTTATAAAAACTTAGAATACTAGTACTTTCACCCTGTTGAATTTTAATACTTGCCCCTGATACCCAGATTTGAAAGAGATCTGGTTTATCTTACTAAAGTTAATTTGTTTTTCATATATGATCACATTATTTGACTCAAAGTGTCTTTTGCAGTAGGGGTGTTTAGTGTGTATCGCATGTTGTGGAACGACTCTGTTACACATGACTAATAACTGGTATAGCATCTAGATTTTTCTGTAAAAATCAAATTTGCAATATATACAATAATGACCTATTGTTCAATGCTTTTAACTTTTAAACTAAATACTTTTCCAACACCAAACTCGCGTACAATTTTCATAAAGCATAGTTAATTACATCTAATAGGATTGATAACTGGCACAGTTTCCTTATTCTCCATAATAAAAAAAAATGTGTATATTAATAATGATCTACGTTCCAGCGTTTCTAACTTTGGAACTAAATACTTTTTAACCACGAAATTAGTGCATAACTTTTGTAAGGCATACGCAACTTGATTAAACATGACTAATAACTTGTACAGTCTTCAGGTTCCCCATAGTAAAAATAATTCATATATATAATATTTACCTATGTTCCATTGCTTCTAACTTTGAAACTAAATATTTTCAAATATTAAACTTAATTGCAATTTTCATAAGATAAGCACAATCCTAGAGTTTCAGGAGAAAAAAAATAAAATTTTACCCAATGTTTGACTTGAGAGCTCCCCTGGAAGTGTCCTATACAAATTTTCAAGTTTATCTAGCAGCACTAATCTATAGTTCGTTTAACAACATCATATGAAATAAACCTTTCACATGACACTTAGGTTTAACATCATTGAGACTCCCCACACAGCCATCAGATTTGTTCAGAACCTGGTGTACCTAACCTCTTATGTGAATAGTCTGGGAAGGTCACTTAACTGTTTTAATTACTTTAAATACACAGTGCTGCCTTTACATTTTATAAACTTTGTGCATTGTGCATTTAAATATAAAGTACCATAACCAGAAAAATGTTTTGTATGTGAAGCATGAGTTTTCTTCTTAGTACTTTATTAAAAATATTTTTGTGTATGTATCCACTCTGTGTATCCTGGTCCACTCGCACTATGGGACTTTGCATGCTGCGTGAATGTTTTTTCCATTGTCTTATGTATGTCACAGTGGTTGTCAGGGATGAAGGAATGTGCCACACTTATGGCTTCCCTCTCACACAGCTCTTTTGCTCCAGGATGGGATGTTTCTATATTTGCTAGGAAAACAGGCATAGCAGTGTTCTCCAAAGCTGAAGAATAAGTCTGTCATCCCATCAATACATTGTGCATTGAGAAGAAACTTATTAATTTGAACTGCTTTAATCAGCAATAACACCAGACCAACATTCTCCATGTAGGACAACCAGAGCTGGGCTGTTTTTCCAAGTTTGCCAGATCGAACCTCGCTGTATAACTGAATGTATCCTTGGATGTAAATAGTGACTATACCATCAGCTAGTACTGCATTCAGGATATCTTCACACAGTGATTCTGTCAGATTCTTCAGTTTTTCAGTCATCAGGTAGGGAGGACAGCAGCTGGTCAACATTTTTATTCTCAATATACTTCCCTATGAGTAGCTTCTCCAAGCTCTCTAACATCACTTTGTGGCAATGCATGGCCCTTTCTTAGTATTTTCTTCTCATCACACCAGCAGAGAACATGACTGGTTAAACCTGCTTCCAGCAAGACATTAGAGAAACCAGATCCATCCATTTTTTTCCCAATCAACACAATGTGCTTCTCATAACATAATAGATTGTTCCATATCAGTGGAAAGGCTTTCATGCTTTGATAAGTTGAAGGTAGTGATCACATACTCTTGGTTGACTTCATTACTTGCCTGCTCTGCATACTGAAGACACTCTTGGACAGTCTTGCATTCAGTTATCGCTTCAGTTATTACCAGATAATAGTCTGTTGTTGTCAGATTTTTTGATGTTTTCCCTGTTTGTGATACAAAACCATTCCAACTGGCCACCTCTTGTTTGGTCTTGCAGTTGTATTGTAGTAGGGCCCATAGTATCTGCAGCATTGCTGAATCTCTACCTACTTGTTCTGTTCCCAGATAGACCAGTTGGTTGATAACAAGAACTGGACTTTTGTGATGTGTAACATAGTATTCAGGAAGGGAATCTTCATTTCTTAGCTTCAAGGAGCTCTGCTTACTCTTGGGCCATCCCCAAAGTTCTGGTTGTGATCCCCTTCTATGTTCTGCAACATGATACCATTGACAGTGTGGACAGATCCCTTACCTGTCATGTCATTAAGCAACTGATCAAAGTTGTCAAATTCAGAATGGAAAAGAGAGGGTGCTGTAGGGGACCTGATGATCTGACAACATTGAAGATTTTTCAGCCACAGCTTCAGCCAATGCCGTCTCCAGTTTTAAGGAGACTCTGTGTCCCATTCAGTTGAATGGTAAAATCAGCTTCTCACTCCTGAAGAGATACCATAAAGTCACACACAGTAGTATGTGTTTTGGGAGTTTCCATGACCCATTTTCTGCTGCTCAACAGATGCCCGATAGACTGGACCAATCTCTGAGCTTTTGTTGAAATATGAGTTGGTTTTCCAGATATGACAAAGCCTAGAAATCTATCTACTTCTGGTGGTATCACGTTTTCACTTAAATCCTGGGCAGTTGATGGCCACTGGATTTCAGCTATCTGCTTGAATGCTTCTTGTGCTGATTGATGCACATGAATACTTGCAATTGTGAGTGTATCAGTAGAACCTAACTGACATTGATTCTTCACTGATGTGTCAACAACAATTTCCAAGTTGTATGCAAAGTAAGACTGGAAATTTCCTGTGTGACAGAATGACGACCTATTCTGGTAGGGCTCACACTTCTCAAGCTTCTTCTTCAGATTATTACCCTGGAAATTAGGGTTTGGGTATGATGTGTCTTGAAGGGTAGCTCTTTAAGTCAAGAGTAAATCAGATAATTTCAGGATCTTCTTTTCCTTCAATATATCTTTGTCAATGACCTTAGACATGGACATCAGTGCTTTCTTGTGGGATTCTTCCATCTCATCTTGCCTTCTTCATCCTTCATCATGACTGCTTCACCATTTTTCCAGCTTCTGTAGGTATTTTATCTGACATGTCTTATGATATTTTGCCTCACAGGCAAATAGATCCTGCCCTCTGATACGCAGAAGAAGATTTTCATCACACTGACTCTCTGCCATATCAACTACATTTTTCCAACCATCTCGATCAAAATTATATAAAGACTTTCAGTTGTCCATACTCCCATTATTCTAATTTTCTTTCTCACTTCTGATGTGCAAAAGATGCAATCTGGGTTAAAGATGATATGATCACTAGACAATCTATGGCTTGGTCAAAGTGTTGAACCAGATGGTCCTGTCTCAGGCTCTTTTAGGTGGTCAAGATTCATGGTGAAACGTTGATAACATTCACGATGGAATCCATGTTCTTCTGAAAGAACTTCAGGCACCAGATCACAGGATTCTTTCAGTCGATATCAGCCAACCTTCTACTTTTGATCTCCTTCAACTTTTCTATCTTAGTTTCAAGATTACTTATTTTTGAAAGGAGCTGTAATGTACCATATTTTAAGCCTGGCACATGTACTATGCATACTGTTTTTTTGTTTTTTGTTTTTTCTTACTTTCTGTAGCATCTCCTCCATTACAGGAGGTTTTCAGGAATATGACATCAATGATAATGCCTTGGTAATGATGAATCATCCTGAAAGTACAGAAATTGAGAGGACTTGAAACCAGGGTCATTCATTGATCATCAAATATTGCATTACAAATATCTTCATTTCGTGATAATATTCATAATACCTGGAAATATTCTATAATTGGAAATTTAAATATGGTGTCTACTAAATTAGACTTAAATAACTTTAAACGAAGTATTTACCTGTTTCTTCCTCACTGGAATAAAAACTTAACTAGTATGACCAATAGCAGGATATGTGCCTCAATATGGGAAATTTATACCTTGAAATACAACTTATAAAGAAATATTTATAATGAATCATATTCATTAATAAACACAATTGGATGAAATGTTTTTGAATAGATAAGTTATCTCTCATTTGCTATGGTAACTATGATTAGTATCAAATCTATGCTCAGAAAGAATACATTAAAGGACATTTGTGATTTTTAATGTTGTGAGAATAAATTAAATTTTATATCCAGGCCAAATCCTGGTCATATTCAAAGTGACCTAATTCTACTCTCAGTAAAGATAAAATGTTGATTTTGGTGTCAAATGATAGGTAGAACATAGTAAAATGACATAATCTACAAATTGAGTTATTTTCTTGGCAAACTTCTTTGTCATAGAATGAAAAGTAAAAAAATAAAATGAATTTTCTTTTTGTACCCTAGCAGTAGGCTAGGGTATGGTCCTTTGGTGGAAAAATTATTTTCTTTATTGGGCCATATTATTTAAAATATAATTTAATGAGAAAGGAAGGATCATTACCTTTTATTTGGTATATATATATATATATATATATATAT